CATGATGACATTTTTGTGCTGTGAATAATTTACGGATTGGTCTTTATTTATTTTTTTTTTCTCCAAGTGAAAAATTGTTATACTTAATGAAGCAGCCATTTTATCATCTATTTTAAAACAAGGGATCTTGAGCTCTGAAATCTCACTTGTGAAACTTCAACAATCAAATTAACATTTTTTCCAGGGACTATTATTTGAATTAAGCTGTTGCATTCAGTGAGGAGTACTTTTCAAGGCATTCATTTTTATTTCTATTTGTAAATGACATAATTATATCTCACCGATGATTTTTATTTTAGCATTAAAATTTTTTTGTATATGAAGTTTTACATTGACTATTGTGTAGAAATTAATTTGTTCTATTCAAAGTCTTGATTTCATTCTTATTTTTTTATTTTTATCTTGGGTATCAATTGGGTCCATATGTGTCTGTTGTCACATATCATTTTGTTTTAGGGTCAACATCACGCAGTCTGCAGCGAACTTGTTTATCCCAGTGATGTAGCAATCTCTCTGACTTTGATTTTTATTTACCCCAAAAAATTATCGTAAAGCATTGTTTAAACCTAGTCCAAACATTTACCCTTGCATCACTCAAAACCCACATAGTGCTCGATGCTACAGTCAGATATACTTTTCATCTCTACTTTTAGTTAATTTAATGTTATCCATTACTTATAATTCAAATTTTGTAAAAAGAAATTTTCTTAAATCTCCTAAATTTGATTTCGGTCTGGGTGCTCTCTGTTATTTTTTTGTTAAGTTTCGATCTTTCGTAAATTAGTTCATTTTTAACAATAACACAGAGGCACAACTTTTCAACAAATTTCTTGCAGCACACGTGAGTTATATTTCAGTGATGCTTTATTCTACTTAAGCAGCAGGCATTGTGTTTGTATTTGTTGGCTTCATAGCCCCCACACACTCACTGCCATCATATTTTTTTGTTGTTACAAAAAAAAATTATCCATATTTTAAGTTCCATTATTATTCATTCCAGCCTCTTGTTGCATTCCCAGGTCTATTTCAAGGAAATAATCTCTACTCATGTGTTCTACTGCTTGTTCAAATAATGCTTTTACCACCCTGGCAATTCTGACAGCTTGCATTCAGGTTGTCATCAGGCATTTATAGAGTTTTTTTAATAAGAAAATGTCTCAACTATATTTCGCTCAATTTTACAATTCTACCTTCTAGTTCATTAATTTCAGAAAAATGTAACCTCAGTTTCCTCATTCCATAACTAACCATTTATTTTACAAAAAGATCATACAAGCAAAAAAAGCAAGTTTTTTTCTGATGATCATTAAGATTCTGTTACATTTCATTAAATGGCTTAGCTGGGAGACGGTTAAAACTTCAAACTTTAATTTAAAATGTTTACTTTGATTCTGTGAAAATCATTCCTTTCAATTGATTTTTTATTTTCAATGTTCAATTTACATTGCTCCACAACTAGTTTCAGAAGTAAAGTCTTGATTTAAGTGCGGTGTCCTGTGAAGTTATTTTTTTATAAACTTTGACCTAATTTAAATTGTGTTTAGCATATTTAAATTCAAGCTATTTCACGGCAGTGATCTTCTTTTGGTTGTCTCGTTTTGTACAGAAAAACATGGAGCAATTGGTTGTGTTCTATTTACAGCTCATCAACTGTGATTGATACATGCATTCAAAATTATACTCAATTTATTAGTTTGTAATATACATTTGTTCCTAGCATAATTCTTTCTTTGTTAACAGTGTCCCATGTCAAAGGGATGTACATTATGTATACTATCTGATCTATCTTTATTGGAACAATTAATTTCACTTCAGAACACTATGACAGAAACCATGACACTGACAGATGTATCAGAAATTGTATTCTTATTAAGATGTTGACAAAATTTTTTGTATTATAATTTTTATGTACAACAGGTAGATTTCACTTTGATGGGACACTGAGTTTCATTTTCACTCATCAACATTGGACCAGGAAAAGATAACTGATCATTTGTCATTGTTTTTATGATTTTAATTTGGGTTGTTTGCATTTGTGTATTTTTTTTTTCTTTTCTGCCAAATGTGTACATATAGGGAAACGGGGTAATCTGAACTTGTTTTCATCCAAGTACGGACGATTGCCCCATCAGCCATTTAGAGTAGCAAGGGAAGATAATCATTATTTTCAGAAATCACTTGACCCACATAGACTTGATAAGTAAAAAGAAAAAAATGTTCAAATTGTAGAGAGTAGGAAGTGAAAGGAGGGGCCGTCGATGTCAGGTTAAGATTTTAGGATTGTTGAGATATTTTAAAACATGGTTTGGGAAAGGGAAATAATTAAATAAAATTTTTAATTAAAAAAAACAGAATAAACCACACATGCACTGCAATGAAGCAGTTTTGTTATATTTTTATACTTTCTTTACAAAGGACGTGTATGTATATTTCAGGCATAGTTAGCCCGCTTTTAAAATGGCATTATTATTTTTTTCATGTCTAAGATTTTTTTGTTGGGACCTGCATCCTTTATTTATCACCAATGAAATTTTTTAAAAAGGGATCAATATTGATGCCATTATAAATTGTACACTAAAAAAACATCCCAAAGACAAGACAGTTTAATTAATGACTACTAGCAAAAACAAATAAGTTCAGTTAGTTGCAGTCCAAAGATAAACTCTCACATCCAGTCATTCTTTGATTTAGAATTAGGCATTATACAGACAGTGGCCAAGTTCTATTGTGTTAGATTTAGAGAATCATATGTTGTCAAGTGGTTGAGTTTTGTTTCAACTTCATTATGAATATTAGACATCCAAAAATGTTACCTACAAATTTTCTTTCATATTGCTATTTAGGAATTAAACAGTAAAGGAACTACAAGAAATGGGAAATATATGAATTAATTTCATCCAAGATAATAAAACTCATCATGTTAGTTGAAAGTATTCATTATGAACATTATCTTTTATGGTGTTATTTTTGGTGTAATTGGATTCTCCAGTACTGGGCAAGTTAAAAAAATTTTAACAATAGAAGCGTTGAAGCTGGTTTGTCATAGAATAAACTAGTGTTTCTGGTAATTCAGTATTACATAAATACACTAGTGGTAATTCGGGATCAGGTATTACATTTACATTATTGCCCTTTAGGGACGCACAGAAAGTGTTATTTAATTTAGATTGACTTTTATTTTTTTTAAAAGAAGAACTTCGGCATTGTCTATAAATAGGTCACAATACCCTACTTTCAACTTTTAAGTTTGGTATTGTGTTCAAGTAATTCAACTGTTGACAATCTTCTCTTTTATTTAAGTATAAATCATATAGAATCCTATTAGAAGATAAAAAAAAAACAAACTTTTTGTGAAGACTATTAACACATGAACCAATTCCAACAAATTTTTAGAAATATCTTTAAAAAAAAAATTTGATTTAAGACTATATCCTTATTTTGAGTCTTTCCTTTCAATTTGTAAGTCAACAGAAGCTTGTGTTGAAATTGTTAATGGAGTTAATAACAACAGCATTTCAGGTATAATATATACAAGATTCAGCAATATGAAATAAAATTTAAGAATGTTTCCAAAACAGCTTGTTTTTTTTTCTTTGTTAAAATTTGTTTCAAAGATATATTATGTTTATTAAGCCACTAAAGAACAAAATACAAAAAGTAATCAATATTATATTATTAAAATAAATCTTTGTTTTAATTCCTAAGAGAAAGTAATCTAAATCGCAGAATTTTTGCAAATAACAGTTACATTTCCTTAAACGTTGGTTTATTTTTTCATCTCATGCAATCATACAAAACAAGCTTTGGGGTAAAATTTTTAAAAAATTCCTCTCTGATATTTTGCAGTATCTTAAAACCTAAACATCATTATAAGAATAAACTTGTTTGAAGAATAATTAAAAAACACAAATTTATCTTGAAACATTTATTTAAAAACCCGTTGTCAAGAAAAGTAATAATTTTTAAGAAGAAAAAAATTTAAACGAAATAAACTGCAATTATTTCCACTAATTTATGATGGTTTGGTAGCTTCAAACATACATCAAAGCCTACACTACTTTATTCACTACTTTATGATGGGTTGGTAACTTCAAACATACATCACCTAAGCTATTTTATAATGGGTTGGTAACTTCAAACATAGAGCACCTACACTATGAACACAGAGTAATGAAAATAAAACATAAAATAGTGATATTGCACATGGGGAAATATTTTTTAAAAATGGTGAGGGATTTATTATTTTTTTTATCAACAAAGCTTTTATTTGTATGTCTTTAAAATTTAAATTTCATTTTAAAAAATGTATACATTTATTAATAAAAAAATCTGTAACTCTTAGAATTTTATTTATACCGTTTACTGATTAAACTTTAATATTCCCATAATTGTTTATATGTAACAAAAAAATAACTAAATTAATTAAAGGAAATTTTTTTAAAAAAAAAAGCGATACCAAAGGTTAGTCAGAGTTTTGGTCTTCCTGGACACATCTACAATTCTCTAATGTTAAGTGTCAATTGAACAAAACTATCATTAAAGTATCTCAAATGCTTATTGATATTGCAAAATAGGATTAACTGACAAAGCCCAACACTGACCATCTCTTGAGAAAAAGATCTCTCATTGAATATCCTCCCATTCTTTCTTCTTCAAACAATGAAGAGCAACTAATTATTTATTTCAATCATTCATATTTATAATTATTTATGAGGGGAAAATTCACGAACAGACAGTAAAATCTATTTCCCCCCCCCCCTCCCCCACCTAATTCCTTCTATTTCTCAGCATAACTCGAAACACTATGGATACTTAATTATGAAGGACTCTTTAATTCAGGAATGTTGACATAGATGTTTGAGACTAGAACACATAAACAATCAATATTAACAATTGCTTTTTTTTTTTTCTTTATTACATGCATCTACATATGTTACAATCTGTAATCTATTTTGGAAAAAAAAAACAACTACCAGGATAGATCAAATAGGGAAAAATGTTTTTTTTTTTTCTTTATTAAATGAATCTAAATATTTTACAATCTGTAATCTATTTTGAAAAAAAAAAACAACTACCAGGTTAGATTAAATAGGGAAAATTTTTACTGACAAAAAATATTGGAAGTGAATATGTTTTTTTTTTTTTTACAAGCCATCTATAGATGAATTTCATAAAAAAATTACTTGTCCTTTTAATGTGGTTAACAACCTATTCTGTTAACAGTACAAGATTTATAACTTTTATTTTCGGTAAATAAACTGAAATAGGATTATCCAATTTTACACATTCATTGTGCAGATAAGAAGCCTAGGAAATGTCTAACACTTATTAAACAATCAAATGTAATCAGGGTTATATATTAATTATGTGAAAGATGGTGTGCACGCAAACTGAGAATTAAATTATAATAATACATGCTAGCACTTCAAAGCCAGACTTACTACACCAAATATCTTCCAGAATATTGAAAAAAACTAATAATGCCATTAAAGCTGATTTCAATACTAGGTATCCTAAACAACATGCATGCTTCAGATGACAAATTGTCTCAAGGTGGTTTTTTTTACACACATAAAATAGTTTTATACATTCATAAATACTTGGTAACAAATCACATCGCAAATTTTATTACAATCAACAATAGCCAACAAAACTGGTCTGAGAACAAAATAATAATCGTTAAAGTTCGAAGAATAATAAACATTGAAACAAAAGTCCCTTATTTTTGATGTGTTGGGGAAGATGGATCGAGCATTGTCTTCCTTCGTGCTGTTTCCTTGGATATATTGTTATGGAGTTTGTTAAGGCGATCCTGTTTAACATAAAAGGTAAACTTGTAATGAATTTATAAATTGATAAAATATTTGTTTTTAAAAAAATACAATTTTACACAATAAACATGGTAAATTAAAATTTAATTAAAGTATTATTAAAAAAAAATAAATTTGTTTAACCAAAAAGAGGCAGAAAAAAAAATTCCTAATGTGATTTCAGCTTTTTTTTTTTATTCAATCACAAATGGTGATGGAACACCAGTATTGTATAGTGTGTGCATGCCAAAAAATAATATTAAAATATAACCTTAATTTTTAATCTTCGACATTCATACAAAAAAAAAGAATTTCCAACCTGTACATTCTGAAGAATACTGTTAACAAGCATCACACGTCTGCGAGAGCTATTCAACTTTTTCACGTAGGGTTCAAGTTCCAAGGGCACAGGATCACTCTCTGAGATTCTTTTCAGATCTTCAAAGAGAAGAAAATGTAACAAATGAATCAATTAACACAGAAAACTATCACAGAAATTAGAATTTTTGGGTTAAATTTACGCAATCGTTGCCACTTTTTTCCCCCCATCCACCATGACCCTTTATGGCAACCAAGATGGCGGCGGTGTAAAAAAACGCACATCTGCAAAAATGAAGAGGGGACGGGAGAGAATGTGCTGGTTAAGTTATTTACAGAGAGAAATGAAAATGAGAACATAAAGTTACAATTAAAATAAATAGTCTCAGCCGGTACATAAATTTCGTGGCCAACAAAGCTACTTTATTGAATCCCTCTAGAAATGCGACAAGAAGTCTCAACAACCTATGGTTGACTCTTTTCCTTGAGTAATTTCAGCCAGTAGATACTCCCCTCAACTAAAACTTGTGTGAGACTACAGTTACACACTATGGTAAGAAAAGTGTAGCAATGAAGAGAAAACAAAAAAATAATTTTAAAGTAATGAAAACCCAACTTATAGTTTCATAGAGTACACTTTTACACAAAAATAAATCCAAAAGTGGTCAGAAAATCAATACAATTAAACACTACACCCATTTTCCAAAATGACAGAAAATTTAAATATTATAATTTACTAACCAATCAAATTTTAATTTAAAACATTCTATCATATTACAGAAACTGTTACACTTGTAACAATGCAAGAATAAACAAAAGGAATCCTACATAGAAACTCTTTGTGCGGGGGAAAGTGCCCTTTTTTATTTAAAAGCAGTGATAATAATTAGAATATTTAAAATTGAGACGGGTATTTAATATTACAAATTGAGACAGGTATTTAATATTACAAATTTAGACAGGTATTTAATATTAAAAATTGAGACAGGTATTTAATATTACAAATTGAGACAGGTATTTAATATTACAAATTGAGACAGGTATTTAATATTAAAAATTGAGACAGGTATTTAATATTACAAATTGAGACAGGTATTTAATATTACAAATTGAGACAGGTATTTAATATTACAAATTGAGACAGGTATTTAATATTAAAAATTGAGACAGGTATTTAATATTACAAATTGAGACAGGTATTTAATATTACAAATTGAGACAGGTATTTAATATTAAAAATTGAGACAGTTATTTAATATTACAAATTGAGACAGGTATTTAAAATCTTACCTTCACAAAGAGTATCAATCTGTTGCCTCAGCTCAACTTGACTTTCTCTACAAAGTTCAGATAGGCATTAAAAAATGTAACAAAAACAAAACAAAGATTTATTATTCAGATAATTTATTTTCAAATTAAAAGGAGTTAAAGAAATAGAATTCTCAGAAACCTATTCTGTTATTTTAGGAGATGGTGAAATGTATATGATAATTTTTTAATCTATAAGTGTGAGATTGATTATGGAAACTTTAAACAGTGGTTCTTAAACATTTTTTTTCTGGACAGATCTGTTGGTGCCATAAACTCATCACTGGGCCTCCTTCTTACTCCAATTTTAAGCATTATTTTTGTGCTAGTAGTAGGATAATGATTTAGATAAAACACTTTAATAACAGTTACTAACTTGTTCACAGTTCAATTACAACAAATGTGATGGCCTGGCTCTGTGAATGGATACTGCCAACATGAAGCAAAGTTGGACAACACCAAAAATAAGGTTTGAAATGCGCCACAGAGCTTCTTAAAAACTCACAAAAAGGCCGAATAGTGATGGTAATGAAATGTCTCTGCTATTATATTGTTAATATACTAGAAATAACCATCAATCAAAAACAATGGGCAGCATTGCGTGAACCTCCCATCTAGTTAAGTCACTTGACAAAACATGCATTTAAACTAATGCACTTCATAAATTATAATTTACCCAATAAGCTCTAACTTCTGGGGAAGTTATTGTGAGTACTATGGAACACAGCTCGGTCACAGTGTTATAACCATAAATACATGCATACCTAGAGAATTATTACTTATAAATATACTTAATATAATAATGTAATAATAATACTATACTGTCTACTCTATAGTATAGTCTAGGTACTTCGGTAAAGCAAGGGAGACTACTAAAAAATGTATGGGAAATGGGCGTCAGCGCAGAAGAATCCGAGTTTTTAATTTTTGGAAGTTGGGTCTTTTGCATTAATTTAAGGACTTTTTTTCCCATAAAATTATGGTATTCTTCCACATTTTCAGAATAGAGGATATCTTTACCTACATTCCAATGTACTGTTTTGCCTCTTTGATCGACCTTAATTTTCGAAATTGATAGGCATATGTAAGGCATCATTCCCACAAAACTTTTTTCAGAAATAAAATGAACACTGAAAAGCATTATGTATTTATGTATATGTGTGCTGATTTTCATTGACATTCGTTATGCTCAACTCAGTAACCTGCATTGTAAGGTTGCTCAACCAATTTCGACCATGCACCCTTTTTAATGGCGGAAGATACAGATACTTAGGAAATATTCAATTATGACCACTATTTACATCAAAATATTTAATAACTTGTGTTTTAGAATGAAGTAATTTAAACAAGAATATTTAAATTTGAGTTTGAAAAATCCAGTAGTCTATATAATAAATTATCATAATTTTCTGTGTGCAAAACATTGTATTGGATAACCATGCACAACCATTTGCAGAATTTGCATAATGGCTTTACCGTAGTACAATCTCAGAGTTTTATTCATAAGAGTTTGCCATGTGCAAAAACTATTCAACCATTAGTTAGGGAAAGCTTTAATTAATTAGTCATGTGTCAAATAAAAGTTGTATAAAATTATTAAAACAAAAGTTATTGCACAGCGGAATGGGGTCACAAAATGTGGATGTGTAGTCCATAGTAAAAAATACAAAACAAACTTGCAGAGTTTGTTAACTCGCACTTTTAAAATTCATAGTATAATCATAGCTCAAAAGGTAGGCCTACTAAAGTATTTTTTTTTTCTAGCATCCGTCCGTCACAATGTGACGATGGAGTGGGCTTCGGAGGACGAAATCCACATGGCCTGGGATTATTAGACTAAAGTCTAAAACTAAAGTTATTAGTTAGCCTAAAGCTAGAAACCTGATTCTAGTTCCATTTTTTAAATTTGAAATTTGCTCTTTATAATAATTTATAACTGTAATATTATAATAATTTTAATTTTTTTTACACAAGTACCTAGTTTAGTCCAACTCTTAATCAAATTATCAACTTAATTCAATCATCAACAAAAGCTTTCTTTAAAGTTCATGTATCCTATTTCTGTTCTGGTTGGTCAATTACAATAAATAATAATAATAACATTATTAACAAATAAAATAGTAAAATAGTAATATTCATTAGTAAAATTTCTAAGTAAAGTAACTAAGACTATTATATCTAATACAAAAGGTTACCAGTAAGTCAGTGTAAGTCTTCTTAATCATGGTTACTATGAAGACTTACATTGACTAAAAAAAGTCTTAAGTTAAATTAGTTTTATGCCTACGCCTACCGTACGCCTTTCACTCGTTCATCAATTTCGTCAACTGCTGGCTTTAATAAGTCAACTAGCCCCCTTGTGACTGCATCCCTGTTTTCCGCATCCAAAGGCTTCTCTCCGAGCAAGGCCATCTTCTAGCTAGAAACCAGCGTTTTTATTTTGAGCCTTAAGTTTTATGGAGGCCTAAAGAAGACTGGTCAAGTGACTTGGATGGATATTTAATTTATTATTATTATTTTTGCAAGTAACTTCCCCTCCCACTTCCAATTTCCTGTTAAAGCGGAAAAGTCTAAAACCAATACTAACCATTAAATATTGACAATGAAATTTCTCTAAAAATTGTCTGCTTCTGAAGATATGTATAGATAAACTCGGGGGATAAAGCAAAGTACACATAAATAAATATTATTTAAGCAAAATATTTATTTTTAGTATTATCACTCACAAAGAATATAGTCTATAGGGCCCAGTTACTAGTTATATTTAAAAAGAGAAAATAAAAAGCTAGTGATAGTGAACGCTTTCATATTAAGATCTTTAAAGACTCCATATCATTATGCAACATAAAAAAGATTAGCCAATAAATGGCTATTTCATTAATAAATTGATTGCCAGTTGTTGCAAAAAAAAAAAAAAAAAAAAAAATTAAAAAAATTAAAATAATAAAAAAAAAAAAAAAAAATTAGCCAAAAAATGGCTATTTCATTAAAAAATTGATTGCCAGTTGTTGAAAAAAAAAAAAAAAAAAAAAAAAATTAAAACAATTAAAATAATAATAATAATAAAAAAAAATTAACGTTGAGGAAAGTTGATGGTAACTGATTAATGGGAGGTAACCCATTTTTATATTTATTTTCTGTTGTTAAACCTCAGTTATCCAACATACACAAACTAATGTGAACTTCAACTTCAAGTCATGAACTATTCACCCCCAACGTCACTAGTATGTAATGATGTATTCTGGTGAATATATTAATAAGACACGAACAAATTGTGTCAATAGAACAATATGAGTTAGCTTTAATAATAATTGTACATTATACAGAATTAAACGCTTCGGCACATGCCTTCATCAGTACAAACAAACACAACACATTTAAATAAGTATAAATTAAATTTACATAATGTCAATATACATATCCTACCTAAAACAGAAAAAATATAGGAGAGGGTGCTTAAACCAGACAAAAACAAAGTAAAGAGAAGCGCGTTTAGCCTAATGATGTAATCTGGTGAAGCACTTTTAGCCTGTTGATGTAATCAGGTGAAGCTCTTTTAGCCTAATGATGTAATCTGGTAAAGCGCTTTTAGCCTGTTGATGTAATCAGGTGAAGCGCTTTTAGCCAAATGATGTAAGCTGGTGAAGCGCTTTTAGCCAAATGATGTAATCAGGTGAAGCGCTTTTAGCCGAATGATGTAATCTGGTGAAGCGCGTTGAACTTTTTCAGTTCTATTCTAATGATGGCTGGTAAACTTCTAGGGGTACTTGGCTACGTGGAGCAAATGGTGCCAGGACAGGGGTTACTTAAATTTTTGGCAGCCCTACTAGTGACATTTTGTGGGTTGGGGCTGAAAATTAATTTGATAGAATTTATTGCCATTGGCAAAGAGTCTATGTGCCAAGGTTCAGCTTGATATTTTGGCGGGAAGTGAGTCAATTAGCCGTCCGAAGATTTTAGCAAGCCACCCACCAACTAAAGCGAAATTGATGTAAAGGATTTAAAAATGGTTGTCATCTGCAATGGTGTTTCTAATGTTGATTTATCGGAAGATCGACTTCATCAAACAGCCTATTTCTACGGACATGTCCTAATAGGAATATCGAACATTGGCCAAATGAATTAAAGGCCATGAAGCAATGATCGCATATTTTTCATTTTAGTGTTTTTCATTTTTATCTCCCCTAACACACATTTTGTGTGCACGATGAACAAATGCAATAAATGCCTTCCGATGGAGTCTAATCATTTGAGCGAGTTTTGCTTTTAAAATTTTATAAAACTGATGCAGTAATTTATAATTAATAATTATATCTAGGATTTCTATTTATAGGAGTTAATTCTAATGTCATAAGTAACAGAGCTAGTAAAATATTAATCAAATTGTGGAATTGATCAGAGTACATTCAATGAATTTGTCATTCATGTTGAGTCTGTTGACTGTTTTTGTACCTTTCATTGAGAAGAGACAGGGGAATAAGATGAAGAATTTTTTTTAAAAAGTAGTAGACATACTTCTTCAACTATACAGCACATGTTAAAACACATTGCTAGCGTCCTTTGCGGCTTTTATATATATATAAATATATATATTAAAAAAAAGAAAGATTTTTTGGCATTCGTCCGTCACAATGTGACGATGGTGTAGACGTCGCAGGGCGAAATCACAAAGCCTGGGGTTTCTTCGGGAAGATAAGCTAGTTTTCTAGTCAGTAAATTACCACTCTCTATGCATAAGAATAACCCAAGGGAACGTTACGTGTGAATGAGACAGCTTGGTATAAGATCGTCTCAGGAGTTTCCGGAATGTGCATTGTGTTGATGTCATACCTCCTACGGGACTCCGTCTCCGGGTTTTAAGTCAGAAAATTTATTCTTTTAGATGATTTGCCATCAAAGGTTAACGAGACTCATCCACCCCGGGTGCTGGTGATAGTTGATTGCTTGATTATGATTTTGTTTACGATTGAACTCCAATCCACATGATTAGGAATATAATTCATGCAATTTAGACCGCACCGTCTATTAAACTTGGAATTAACTATGGCACAACTGCCGCTTTTGTGCTAGAGTTACATTTAGGCATACGGTGAGTTACATTGATATTGGCCTAACCCCCTTCTAGTCATTACTTATTAAGACACCCTGCTCGTGTGAGACTCTGTTCTTGTGTCAACCTGTTCTTTTTGGTCTTGGCGTATCGATTTTGCATAACTTCTGATGTAATGAAAATTAACTGTGTATAATTTAATTACAGTGATCGTCGCGACGATTTAAGACCGCGAAACTGGACTACGGAAATAGCAGGATCTTGATACTATCGTCATTTCTTTTCTTTTGCGGTGTAGACTGCGTAGTCGGCATTATCTTGTGTGTATCCATGGGCGCCCGCAGAAAACTGTCTAGGGAGGGGGGGGGGGCAAAAATTTTGTTTAGTAATGTTTTAATTTACTGTAGCGTATTTGTATGGTGAACAAACGGACAGGACATCAGATTAGTTACTTTCTCTTTATTTTCTCTTTACTTAAATACATTTTTTGTCTATTTTTGTCTAATTTTTTTATCCTATCAATCCAGGGGGGGGGGGGGCAAGTGCCCCCCCTGCCCCTACCTGCGGGCGCCCGTGTGTGTATCATCGATCTCAGCGGTTCCCAACACTAGTATGAAAAATAGATTAGCTCAATAATCAAATGAATCAGATCAAGCTTATGATATTTATAAGTTTTTATTTTTCTATTTTGCCATAATGTGCCTTACAAGTTAGTTCAATTTTTTTTTTGGACATAAAAGCAACGTAGCTGGAATAAATCTCACAAATAAACATTATAATAGTACTAAAATGTTTGGACATAAAATGGGAAATAAACCAATAGAAAAAAAAATCAACATCGGAATTTAATACAGCAAATCAATGTTCTCTTTATTAATTTTTTTTTTTGAAAGTATAAGTGTAGATAATAACATTTGTTGTTATATACACCACTAAATTTAAACATTGAAATATCGCTTCTCGTAAATGAACAGTTTAGATAAAACTTAATTGCCGTTTTCTGCCATCATCAGCATAGTTTTTGCGTACCCCAAGTGGTACGCTGCATGCCCCTCCACCCCCCCCTCCCCCATCATTATAAGGCATTCCAAAGGATGAGAACCGCTTATCTGTCTTTAAAAGGGATAGTGATTCATGGTAAAATGCTAAATTTTGCAAATTACGTCACGCCAAAAAAAAAAANCCCCCCCCCCCCCCCAACAGTTAGTGCCACGTCTAACCTTAAAAAATTAAAACGTACATAAAATTGTCATAACTAAACTAAGAATTTATTTTATTATTTAAAATTTTAACATAATTATAATGGATGTAGTGTTATTAGAAATCTGTGACGCGAAACAACGAAGTCATCCCCGCGCCGAGGGCCGATGTAAAATGGCAACAGTTTCTGCGCAAAAGGTGTGCGCTACTCAGGTGACTGAGGTTCACGTTATCTAAAGATAATACCTGAGGCAATTTCGACCTCAAATGAATGTTTTTTTAAAATTAATTGAACAAAGATTTTTCAAAATTAGAAGATTTTAGATTTTGAATTTAAAAAAAAAAAAAATTAAATTGTGACTTTACAATTTTTTAACCCACCCCCCTGTCACAAATTAAATGACTTCCGGTCACTTCATATCGCTACTTACTTACTCCCCCTTGTTCGCCGAATTTAAAATTCTAAGTTAAACTTAAAGCACTTGAGAAGTAAGTCTTAGTTAGAACTATTTAATATTCGGTATGAACTACTTAATTAACGGTTCGAACATTACAAGCACCTCCACAATTATGAATTTAAATGGAGCAATATAATATAACAAAATAAGGGGAGGCTGATGGGTAAAATGAATAGTTAGTGTAGTATTTCATAAATCAGCTGTCAGCTGTTAACATTAAATATAATTAATTATTGTGAAACATAATAATATATATTTTAAGAAAATGTCCTTTGCATTTATCCAAGCTAAAAGTCACTGATCAATAAAAAGAACTTGAAAGTTGGCATAAAGCTACATTATAATTATATATACTATATAAAAATATTTTTCAAATGATTATTAAATGAACATGCATAAAACTAAGCATCTATTAGCCTTATGCATGTGAGCTTAGTAGGCCTACGCTCCTATCCTATATGAAAGTGAAGTGTTGACCACATAAATATTCCAGTCATGAATGGAAACTCAATAGCTTCCATCAAAGGTTCTATGTTGCATTTTACGCATTCCATGGCAGAACAAGGTGCCTAAAGTAAATGTCTTGTAACATGCAAAAATGTGTAGCATTTTATCCGCATTTAGAAAGAAGTGCTTTCGCTGGTTAGGCCAAGTTAGGAAAATGGAGGAAGGCCTTATTCAAAAGAATCTGCTGTATGGAGGGTTGGCAGAAGGGACTAGACTTATTGGATGGCCACGGCTGCGATTTATGGATGTTTGCAAAAGGAGCAAGAGGAAAGCCAACATAGAAATCAACGAATGGGAGATAGTCACTGAGCAACGTTCCGGCTGGCGCACAG